ACAGCTGATGGGCAGGTGTTTGCAAAGATTGGGGGGGGGGAAGCCAGCTTCAGAAAACCCCCCCTGAATTCGGCGCTCTCTCTCTCTCCTCTCGCAACTCCAGCCTGGGCAGGGAGACTCAGTCACCCTGGCTGTGGCGGCGCGGTGCCTCAGTCTCTTTGCCCAGGCTAGACCTGCAAGGGTTGAGAGAGAGAGAGCGCCCCGAAGCACAGCTGATCGGTGGTTCCAAAATGGCCGCCGCTGTGTTGCCTCGCTTTAGAGGCACCGAAAATGGCAGGGGGGGTGTAGGATTTTCACTTAAAGGTGAGGTTTTCCCCATAGGAACGCATTAAACGTGTTTTAATGCGTTCCTATGGGGTTTTTTGCCCCGCATAGTGACGAATCCGTATAGCGATGATTTTTTCGGAATGGATTATCGTCGCTATGCGAGACACCACTGTATTTTGTCAGTGTATGTCTGTGTGTAAGCAGACATGTGTATATACAAGCAAGTTCGCTTGCATCCATTTTAATTAAGTAAAAAATAGACAACAATGGTTGTTGTGGGTTTTTCAGGCTGTTTGGCCATGTTCTGGAGGTTTTTCTTCCTAGTGTTTCACCAGTCTCTGTGGCCAGCATCTACAGAGGACAACATCTATGGAAATACATGTTTGAATCTAGTGTGTTTTGGTCCAGAATTCTCTCAAAGTAAACAAATTTTGCTTTCTCCTAGACCCAATCAAGGGCATTCCACAAATATGAAATGACCAAAGACAAACTCAGACAGCAAGGAAAAGCCAGATGAAATAATCCATGACTGGCAGAGCAGTGCTGTTAAGATTTTGGAAGCAGGCTTTCCACTGCTATTTATGTACATGCACACACAGGCATCCCTTACATGTTACCTAACATGTAAAAGCATATCAGGCAAAAACAAAATAAAAATAAAAAAATATAAGGGAGACAAAAACATTATGGTACATTAAAGACTAACTGCTATATTTTTAATGTGAACTTTTGTGGACAAGTCCGCTTCTTTAGACTTCTCCATGAAAGCTCACAATACAGCGATGCTTCTTTAGACTTCTCCATGAAAGCTCACATTAAAATACAGCGATTAGTCTTTAAAGCACCACAGAATTTTCATTTTTGTTTTGTTTTTGCCTGCCATGCTAGCACAGACTAACACAGCTACCTCTTCTAAAACTACACTGCAAAGAAAGCATTGTGTGTGTCACTCCAGGAAACCTACCGCAGTGCTGGCATTCACGAGAGTAGCTTCTGTGCTACCATTCATATCAGAATTTCTCTCCTTTTTGGTCTCTTCTAAATCTGTAACAGTATTGGGGCCTTTTTTCTTCTTCAGCTTGGCCAGAATGGAAGACTCCCTCTCTGGAAATGGAGGCATTTCTTCCAGCACTGTTGCCTTAGAAGAGAAATAAGCTATATGAGACCAGAGCGCACATACTTCAGAGAGACAAGACATATACTGTAATGCCTTACAAATATAAAAACGTAATGATTCTTATTAAATCATTTGCTTGCTACAGTTGGGAATATTGTGACTCGCAAATCATTGTTCAAAAGAACTGTAAAAAAAATCTGAACTGGGTAATATTTTCTCAGAATCATTGTTTTAAAAAAACTAAGTATTCATTCCACAGTCAGTTACACATACATACTGTAACAGCCTTCCTCACTACTCACAAAGGGAGGTCATCACGTCACTTTAAAACCCTTCACTCTTCTTTACTGCCACCAACCATTCCTTAATGAATAAATCATACAGCAGGCCAGTATAACTTTTAAAAATAAAAACTTGGTTTATTGAATACAAAAAGAAAGGAATGGTAAATCACTGTTACAGAAATAATCAATTACTGTTTCTCGGGCACTAGCTCTCACAGACTCTTTCACACTAACACTAAGATTACTTTAACTCGCAGCTCAGACACTCATCTCTCATCTATCTGCTATCTCCTATCTGACCCACTCACACCTCACACACACCTTATATATCACAGCTCCTCCCACCTCTGCACCACCCTCCGCCCTCTCATTGGCTGAGATTTTCCCTCCCAGCTGTGACGGACAGGTTATGCTATGGCTGACCGTAACACATACCAAGATATCGGTGCTTGCAATTGTACTGAGCCTCAGGTACTCCACAGCCCTCTGCTGCAGCTCAACATCAGCGTTTTTTAGCTGACTGTCACTGCGTAGTACATCTTGAATGGTAGTTTTTATTTCAGGAAATAAATTCACGAATTTGATATACGTAGATAGAAGCAGTGCCCTCGTTGGGACACTACAGAGATGGAACTTAGAGTGTAGTAAGTTAAACTGGATCAGAGGACTGAGAAAGAAGAGGGGGGGAGAGAAATACAAAGCTAATATTAAGATTTGTTTAATGATTTAAAAAAGAGTTCACTGTCAAAGTCCCAAATTTAAGTTCTAAAGTAATAACATTTCTCTGGCCACTGATCACTGAATTGTACTCCATACTGTATTGAGCCACTTAGAACAACAGGGAACTTATGCGAGGCTGTTGTTTGTGGATTATAGCTCTGCTTTTAATACCATTCTACCAAATAGGTTGTTTTTTAAAATGATCAACCTGGGATTACCTCAGAAGATCTGCGTGTGGATAAAGGACTTTCTGACAGATAGGCCACAGTCAGT